TTTTCTTCAAATTGCGATTCCTCCTACTCCAAAACGGAGGAAAAACGATCGTTCATCAAAAAGACATCCGCAATCTAGATCTCGATCTCGATCTAGATCTAGGCTAGCCGTGGAACTAGATCAAAGATTTATGTCTGTCTGCCTATATCTAGATCTAGACCTAGGCCATAGATATCTAGAAGAACCTAGGTCAACCCTGAGCCAAGAGGGCGCTATAACTCTCCGAAATCACAAAAGAGTTCCCTTACCGGGTCTGTATACTTTGTGACTTTGTTCCCGGTTACCGGGTCTGTATACACTCCCTAATAGATATACTAAGTATGCATGTAATACACTATTGGACACAATCAATAGCACTTTTTTCTACTAATCAGATGGCGTCAATCTCATATAAATGGGCAAGGGAAACAAAACAAAAAAAAAAGATACTGGCCAACATCGACTAAGAGAGTGCACTATCGATAAGTTCTCAGCACCTACTCAGACTAAACAAGGGGACGTAACAAAAGTTTCTCACTGTAATAATGTCGATTACTTTTGATAATAAATGACCACGAAATGCAGTAGAGGCCCTCATGCATTAGCCTGAGCTGTGCTCATTGTTGATGCTGTTCAAATTAAGCTTTTTCTGGTTTTTTGTTTGATTGTGTTTGTTTCGTTGGTTTTTTGGGGAGAAGGGCATCTAAAAATGTTCTTCATTTTAGCTGAAACCCCGAAAATTCCCTTCTCAATTATGGGGGATAAACTGATTTCAATAGTTGGATGTCTTTGTATTTTGTCACAAACAATAGTATTTCGTTAGCAGCATTTTTATGATAAAACTGTAGGTCTCAACATTCCAAAACTTGAGTATCGATTAGCATAGACTAAGCGACTAAAATATCTACAAACTCACAAAGGGGATCGTTTTTAATAAGTACAGAGCACTGGCATCGATTAAGGCCCACCACTATTTAGCAGAGATGCTCTTCCTGGCAACCACAAATTGCGTTGTGAATGTCTCAGTTTCCGCAACAAAAATTATCCAGTAGGCTACGTCTGATACGGCAATTTTGTCTTGGACATTCTCAAAATATGTCCCAAATAACACCTCCATTTTTTCCCTTTTATGAAATTATAGTAGGTAGTATAATATTTTTTGTAAAGCGCAAATTCCACCACAATAGTAAACTCTATGCGCATTACAATCTACACTATTACCCCAGCAAGCCTGATGGCAAATAGAAACAATCTCAACTTTCTTTGAAGCATACCTTGAAAACATTTGAAGGACACAGTACAATATTAGATAGAATAAGTCCGTAAAATTAAAAAAAAATGGTAAGACGAAGAAAATATTCTGTATGTCTGTCTTCAGTTGTCCCAGCGCTACCGCTTACTCCCTGTTCCGGAGCGGGTTGACCAAGGAACCTGCTGCTGCAGCTGACGACCCGGTGGTGGTAAAGGTCAACATGAAAGTGTTCAGGTTCCTGGGCAGCTCAGACAAGGTGGCGTTTGTCTGTGACATTGTACTTTGTGATGCTGCCAGCGACCCTCAGTGCGCAGATGTAAGTCAGGGAATAAACAGCACCATTGGAAGTGTTTGCTGCGAGGATTTGGAGAATTTTGTGTTGTTGGTTTTTTGTTCTTTTTTTT